ATGACATGAGACAAAGTATATGTGAACTGCTGTATGAAAAGTGAATTTACTCTGTAAATCTTCACCCAAATCCTAATAAAAAAAAAAAAAAAGATTTAATTATTTTCTTCTCCTTTTTCTATATATAGGGGATTTGCAAAAGCTGGGAAATTCTGTTTATTCCCAGGCTTCCTGGTTATATTTTGGGTGGTACATTTTTCCAGGTCCATGAAGCTGCCTCTCTAATGTCCCCACTCCACTCTGTCCACTCACCTGCTCTTCCTTCTGGTGACCTGCCACCTCTAGCCTGTGTGTTAACAGCTGAATGGTGACTTGGTTCTTCTTGTTTTGGGCCTGGTGGGCAGAGGCCTCCCCACCCAGCTGAATGATCCTGTGTTTGAGCTGGGACAGCTGATCCTTGTATTTCTGACTCTATGGCAAAAAATTTCTAAAACAAAGATAGAATTTTTTTTTTTTTCAATCAGCAACTCATTTCAATGGTTCTCAACTGGGGGGATTTTGGAGTTTTGGTGGTGCTGTGCTTACCTAGTGCTGCTCTGACAAGAATATACCACAGATGGGATGGCATAAATGAACAGGAGTTTATTCTCTTACAGTTCAGGAGGCTAGAAGTCCAAGTTCAAAGTGCCAGACTCTAGGGGATGTGTGAAAGCCCCTCGACCTTGGGCTTCATCTCTGCCTCTTGCTCCTGGCCCACTGAAGCTAGAGGCATCTCTTCACTCAGGCAGCTACTAGCTGCTGAGGCTAACAGGCCCAGGTCAACAAATAAACAGGCACAATCCCGATGTTACCAAACCACACAGCAGGGCATTAACTCAATTCCATTGTAAGTCCCCAAGTCGGCAGCGCATTGCAGGCTACTGCACAACGACACAGCTACATGCAGGTTTCAAGTGTGCCATAAACTTCAGACCATTCCCTAAGGCTTCTGCTTATAGACAGGAAGCAGACCACATTCACTAAGGCAGCTACTCAGCTGCTTGTGGTAGGTCCCACCATGGAGCTGATTGCCAGTCTCATCATGGGGAATAACTACCACCAGCTGCCCAGCCATTCAACCAGGTCCAGCCAAATTGACACGCAAACTGAACTACCACAATTCCACTCCTTGTCAACCTGGCATCTGTAGATATCTTCATTGGGTGGCATCTGTACAGATTTCTCTCACTGGGTGGCTCCAGTCCCCTAATTCCTCTAAGTGGTGACCTCACCCCCTTGGTCCGGCAGGACCCAATCCTCTCCCTCTTGGGCATGGCAGGCCAGCCCTTTCACTCTTGGGCAGCGGCTATGGCTCCATCCTATTCACTCACATGAACGAGTAGTCCCACACTCCAGAACCAAGTTGGTGAAGGCCTGGTTCTTTGAAATCTAGGAGCTGTGGTGGTTCCATCCCCAAAGGCCATGGTCCTAAGCTTTGAGGCAGAGGCAGCTCTGCTTCCATTTCCTTGGCCTCTCTTCTTCTGCTGATTAATGCCAAAGGCAACCCACTCCACAGGAAATCTTCCTGCCCCAAAAGCACTCAGCTTTCTTGCTCCATGGGCCAGCCAACCTGATACTCCATTTCAAGCCGGTCTATTCAACCAATTAATGCCTGAAGGCAACCCACTCTGCCAGGAAACCACCTAACCAAAGGCATCAAGCTTTCTCCTCCATGGGCTGGTAAGGCTGTCGCTGTTTAATGCTGGTCTCTTGGCTCTGCTCCTGCTGTATGCCAGGGTCTCTCTGCTAGGGTCTTGGGTTAAGGACGCACTCCACTCCTGTTTCCACATTTTAGGTATCTGTCAGAGCAGCACCCCACTCTCTTGGTACCAAATTCTGTTGTGGTTACCTAGTGCCACTGTGACAAGAATATACCACCAATGGGATGGCTTAAATAAACAGGAGTTTATTCTCTTACAGTTCAGGAGGCTAGACGTCCAAGTTCAAAGTGCCAGGCTCTAGGGGATGTGTGAAAGCTCCTCGACCTTGGGCTTCAGCTCTGCCTCTTGCTCCCGGCCCACTGAAGCTAGAGGCATCTCTTCACTCAGGCAGCTACTAGCTGCTGAGGCTAACAGGCCCAAGGTCGACAAATAAAATGGCACAGTCCCAATGTTACCAAACCACACAGCAGGCCATTAACTCAAGTCCATTGTAAGTTCCAAACGTGGCAGAGCATGGCACCTGCTGCACAATGACATGGCTACATGCAGGGTTCGAGTGTGCCATAAACTCGAGATCATCCCCCAAGGCTTCAGCTTATATACAAGAAGCACACCACATTCTCTAAGGCTCAGCTGCTTGTGGTAGATCCCACCATGAAGTTGACTGCTAGTCTCATCATGGGGAATAACTACCACAAGCTGCCCAGACATTCAATCAGCCCAGCAAAGTTGACACACAAACTGAACTACCACAGGTGGCATACTGCCGAAGGTATTTGACTGCTAACCAAAAAGTTGGCGGTTCAAACTCATCAGCCACTTCATGAAAGGAATATTAGGCAATCTACTTCTGTTAAGATTTACTGCCTTGAAAACCCAAAGGGGGTCACTATGAGTCGGAATTGACTCGATGGCAGTGAGTTTGGAGTTTAGTTTTGGTTTATGGTACATTTGTCAATGTCTGGAGGCATTTATGATTGTCACAACTGCGGGAACCTGGGGTGGCTACTGGCATCCAGGGATGCTACTAACTAATCTTTATCCAAGGAGTTGAAGTGAGATAATATTCATTACTATTCATGGTACTAAACATCCTAGAGTGCACATGACAGCCCCTAAGCCACAGACTCATCCAGCCCCAAGGAGGGGTCACTATGAGTTGGATCCCACTTGACAACAGTGAGTTTATTTATTTTTTTAATATAATCTTATGTACTGTTCAGTGATGTTAATTCTCTTCATCAGGTTATTCAATCATCACCATAAACCATTCCCAATTTTTTTCCATCACTTTTAACAGAAGCTCAGCATCTACTATGCATTATGTCTTTCTTTCACCCTCCCTTCTATCTACCTCTGTTGTTGCTGTTATGTGCCATCGAGTCGGACCCGACTCATATCGACCCCTCCTTGGGTTGCCGAGATGGTATCACTATGGAAGTAGATAGCCCAACCTTCCTTCCAAGAAGTGGCCGGTGAGTTTGAACCACCAGCCTTCTGGTTAGCAGTCAAGTGCCTTAGGCACTACACTACCAGAGCTCCCTCTACCTACCTCTGTTGTTGTTGTTGTTGTTTGCCGTCGAGTTGGCCCCGACTCATAGCGACCCCTACCTCCAATAACTATTAATAAAATTTAGTCTCTATGCACTAGTCTACTGTAGATAGTGGGATCAAATATTTGGCCTTTTGTGACTGACTTATTTCAGAAGTGAATTTGTGGTTTGGGGAAAGTGAAGCAACAACCAATCTGGGGGACATGTGAACCTATGTGTGTGAGTCTTGGGTGAGTACATCTTCGGGATGTACACATAAAGGAGAAGGGGAGTAACAGAGTATGTGTGGGGCATGTAAGTGAGGGTGGATGAATGAAGTATATCTGAAAGAGATATTCAGAGTGCCCTCTAAATGTATGAGGATGTCTTCTTAAGGCTAGTCAAAATGAGTATGTAAGCAGTGGGCAAAAACTAATGTGAATATGTGCCTTTTAGTTTGTGTGGATCAGGAGTGATAATATATTCTGTGTGGTGTGAGAATGTGAGGATTTTTTAAAAAAATTAATTGTAGTAAATATAATATAGAATAATAAACACTCGCCAACTCAACATTATTTTACATATACAATTCAGTGACACTGTTTACATCCTTAACAGAAGCTCAGTGTCCCCTAGCAATGAATCTCCTCTTTTATCCCTCATGCCTGCCCCTGGTAAACCAATAAACTTTGGTCCCCATACACTTGCCTATTTTTGGTATTTTATATAAGTAGAATACAGTATTTGTCCTTTTGTGACTAGCTTCCTTGACTTATCATAATACTTATTATTTTTTTATTTTTATTGTGATTTTGGTGAAAGTTTACGGAGAAAACCCACTTTCCATACAGCAGTTTATACACATTTTGTTTCATGACATTGATGATTCCCCACAATTTAACAGCTCTCATCCCACTTCCTCCCTGTATCCTTCTTTCCTGTGCATGCCTGCCCCTGAGCTATCTCCCTGGCCTTCCACATTTTTTTAATGCATTTTATTTAAATATAATTTGTGTACATGAAATATACAAAACTAAAGTGATAGGAGTCAATGCATTTTTTTTTTTTTTTTTTGCAGTGTTCGCTCCCCTCTCTTCCCCCCACCGGCAACCAACAAAGATTCCTTCCATATATAAACCTTTCCTTGACCCTCCACAACAATGAACTAATACTATATTTGTCCTTCTGTGATTGACTTATTTCACTCAGGATAATGTCCTCCAAGGTCATCCATATTATGCAGTGTTTTGCAGATTCTACATTATTCTTTAGTGCTGGATAGCATTAATTATCAGCAAATATGAATTTTTTGTTGCCATTTTTGTTATGTGCTTTTTCATGGTGTTGGTTTCTTTGTTCCATATACTTTTCTATGATGGCCTTGTTTTGTTTACGATAGTGTTATCACTTCCTTCATTGCTATTGTTTTAGTATTTGCTAAATATTTTTATTTTGATATGAAGGTTTATCATTTTTCTTTGAGGTTACCCTGTGATTTATATTTTTCTTCCCAAGTTTAGAACAGTCTGTTCTATTTTGTAGTTGTCTTGACTTCCCTACCATCTAGAAGTTTTGTAACTACACAGTTTTTTCCCTCTTTTTGGTCTGTAGTTGTCCTCATTTGTCAAATGTCGTCTCTGGTTCTCTGTTTACAATCTTGTAGGCTTATTTACTTTGGATACTTCCATAGCTGTGTTGGTTTCTAGGTTATGTCATCATGTGTGTTAATGGTTGTTTGCTATTGTTGCTTGTCTGTCCAAAGGACTCCCTTTAGCATCTCTTGTAAGGTTGTCTAGTTTTAACAAATTCCCTTCATTTCTGCTTATCTGGAAATGTCCTGATTTCACCATCATATTTGAGGGACAATTTTGCTAGGTACATAATTCTTGGTTGGAAATTTTTCTCTTTCAGGGTTTCATATATACCATCCAATTGTCTTCTCATCTGCATGGTTTCTGCCAAGAAATACAAGCTTAGTCTTATTGGTTGCCCCTTGTAGGTAACTTTTCATTTTTGAGGTGCTGCTTTTAGGATTCTTAATTTGTCTTTGGTTTTGGTGAGTTTGATGATATGTTTTGGTGATTTTCCTTTGGGGTCTATCCTGTTTGGGGTTCATTGCACTTCCTGATTGGATATATTCTCATCTTTCATCATACCAGGAAAATTCTCTGCCAACAAATCTTTGACAATTTTCTCTGTGGTTTTATTTGTCTCTTCCTGTTCTGGAATTCTGATTACA